GGGTTGAAATACAGATATCACCCACGTCGAGAGACGTATACATCCTCTATTTTGGGTCCTTCCAAACAAAGAAAAAAAGAACAAAAAGAAAAAAAAAAACAAAAACAAAAAAAGAAAGAAAACCAAAAGAAAAAAAAAAAAAAAGAACCAACGCGTTCTCCTATAGTCCCCAGGAATTAATATTCAGCCGTCGTGCAGAAATCGCCCACTGCGTTTCGATAGTCTCGACGAAAGAAAGAATTTCTGGCATTCAGAACGCACGACAAAAGTCCGTACGCATACGGTGAGCGTGGGTGGTAACAGGGATCTCAAAGATGCTTGGAGAAACCGAACTACCGAAACGTTATCCGATTACAAAAATATAAATTTTTCAATAAAATACAGAAAGGGAAAAAAAAGAAAAAAAGAAAAAAAAAGAAGAAGAAGAAGAAGGAAAAATGAAGCAGAAGAAGAAAAACAAAATTAAAATACACGACGTTTAATGTGTACGTATAGCCATGTCAATTCGTTGTCCGTAGACAACGACGATTCTCCCCTTTTTTATCACGAACGTGTCCTGATTTACGCGATCGAAACGAAACACGACGATACAGCGTACATCTCATTGCCTTTTACGACTATTTATAACGACCGGATATTGCCTTCGAGCAGATTCCGTTCTGTAAAAATACGTGTATTCTCTCTCCCACGAGTATAGATATATCAACCTATAAAATGGACTCTATGTGTATCGCCACACTCACGAACAAAAATCAATTTCAATTTCGATACTCTTCTTATATATTATCTCGAAACTCCCTATCGTTTAATTTGCAAAGATGTACGATGCTTTTTATCTTTTCATTTTTTTTTTTCTTTTTTTATATCTTTTTTCTTTTTTTTTTTCTTTTTTTTTTCTTTTTTTTTTTTTTTTTTTTTTTTTTTAATATATATATGAGAAAGATTGTAAGGGGCGGGGAGGAGAGAGGGTGGAAACAACTCAAAGAAACAGGTCTACCGAAAACTGTTTAAATTCCCTCGCTGAACAAATACGCGTGTTATTACGAAGGAAGATATTTACGGCACGCGTGTGATTCTCATCTTTCGGCGAGAGTAAAAAGAAGAGAAATGGAGAGAGAAAGAAAGAGAGAGAGAGAGAAAAAGAGAGAGAGAGAGAGAGAGGAGGAAGAACGAACTTATGTACATACAAACATACAAACATACAAACATACAAACATATATACGTATGTATGTATAGATTTGAAAGGTGTATCGGCGCGTAGCGTATCGCGTTACGTGCGAGCCGACGTTTGTTACAAGGCACGAAACGGAAGAGATGAAGAAGCATTCGTTGTAAAGGGTTCGAAGGAAGAGCGAGAATGGATACTGGCGTGGGCCTCTTGAAGGCCCTATTAACGAGTGACCCCCCGCGGCCGACCACAGCGGGCCCAATCAGACCCGTGGCTTCGATTCCAAGTCGGTCCTGTCGACTCTCTCCAACTTGTTTTATGTAATGCCCGCGACGCCAGAATCAATTAGCCAAGGCACCCTCCTATTTTGCGTATGCATGCGCGGCGCTATATGCATAGGCTGGACCGATCCGATCCGAAAACTTATTTGCAAGCTGGCGCTCGGTCCGCGAGAGACTTCTCTCTCCGACTTGCTGCTTGATCCCCGATGTGCCGATGTTCGACCGGTAGACGAGTATAACCGGTTTCGTTCGTACCACCGAGTTAGGCGAAAATTAAATGGCTCGAGACTAACGCGAGATCTTTATTCTTTTTTTATTATTATTTTTTTTTCCTCCTTTTTTGTTTTTTTTTTTAATTTTTTTTTCTTTTTTCTTTCTTCTTTTTTTTTCTTTCTTTTTCTTTTTTTTTTTTCTTTTTTTTTTTTTTTTCTTTTAAAGATGGGCGGAAGGAAGATCCATTTCTCACGACATTTTGAAGGATCCATAAAACAAGAGAACGTATGTACGAGTAAATCATAACAGGTTGAAAGTTGAAATTATTTAAAGATGATCATATCGAGTGGAAGTATGGGATCGTTGTTAAGAAAAGAAAAAAAAAAGAAAAAAAAGAAAGAGAGAAAAAAAAAAAAGAAAAACAACGCACGGAGTATTCAATTAGCGAGGAGCATCATCCTTCGGTACTTTAATGAGGTAAAGCCGAAGATATAAAAATGGTTTATGCCCCGCGAAAGTCGACACCGCGATGCCATCAATTAGGGGAACCACGGAGAGGTAGAAAACGGTCTGGTATAATCAACATATTCAACGTGGCAAATGAGACGAGTCTTAAATCGATAACGACGGGCTAGCCAATTTTCAATTAGCCCTTCTCTGACCTCGATGAAAGAAAACGAAAAGAAGATGCGAAGAAGTTATCGGTGATATTTTCTTCCATGGCGACGCGTCAACAGGCTCGCGAAAGAAAAGAAAAGGAAAAAAAAAGAAAAAAGAAAGAAAACGAAGGAGAAAAAAGAGGAGGAGGAAGAGGAGGAGAAGAATAAGAAGAAGGAGGAGGAGGAGGAGAAAAGGGGAGGTAAAAAGGATTCAAAGGCTTCCTTTTCTCTCCATTTCTCTTTCTCGTGGAAAGAACGCGTCCTGAGATCTCTCACCAGGATCATGGTTGCTCAGCATGAACGCCATACATCAGGAAGAAAATGTGAACGGTATGGAAACACACAACGTTTTGCTTTCTTTCTCGTACGTGGAAAGGGAGAAAAAAAAAAAAGGGAAAAAAAAAATGAAAGAGTCGATTTATTCAACGAATCCAACGAAGTATCGCACTGTATCGGCTGTGAAAGAGTAAGCATACGTCAAGCTTCTTTATATCACTTCGCGGACGGGGGGTCGACATACGTAACAATATGGCAATTTGCTATGTCTCGATATGAGATCTCGATACGGGGGATGTTGCTTTCTTTCTAACGTTATACCACCCTTGGCTTCCTACAAATTCAATTCCGTTGTTTCCCTGTGTTCTTCTCATCGTTTCTGTACGACCACAACAAGTTTTTACGCTGAGAAAATTCCAATAGATTTTTTTGTTCTCTTCTTCTTTTTTTTTTTTTTTTTTATTTTTGTTTTCCTTGCTTCGTTTCGTTTCGTTTCGTATGGTTTACTCTTATTGTCTCGAAGGGGAAAAAAAAAAAAGAGAAAGAAAAAAAAATCATCCAAAAAGATTTTAATTACACAAGTCACATTCACGATGTCTGTCTTTCTCTCACAACAAGTAGAAATCAACCAACTGAGATATTTTAACCATCACCCACCTCCCCATTTGGAATCTCTTAAGAATCAAATAAATCTAATTCCAGACAAATTAATACGATCCCGTTGATTCCCTTTTAAAAGCAATCTTTTTCTCCACGCCAAGATGTATAAGTATACCTGTATACATATATATATATATATATATATATATATATGCATACGCATTATACATAGATACATGATAGAATTAGGGGTGGGGGTGGGACGGGGTGGGGGCAGAGGAAAAAAAAAGAAAAGGAAAAGAGAAAAAAGAAAAAGAACGGGGGTTGTACCTGCGGCATCGTCCGTTTCAGGAATTCGACTTGATCTTATCTTTCTCTCGGTGGAACCGCCAGAACCCCCCCCGCGAAGAGGATCTTTGATTTAGTACGAGGTATAAAGGATAAAAAGAGAACGTGGAACGTCGTTACACGACGTTAAAGAAGTAAGAGGATGGGCATCCTCCAGCTATCATTCTCGTAAAAAGGAAAAGAACGTATGCGACGTTCTCGGTACGACGATACACGATAGTTAAACGTATAAGGTCAATTCGCATCGATTATTTCAATATTTAGCATTGATAACGGATAACCGTAACTGTCGCATTTTATTGGATCCAATAAGGTATCATTTTTCTAAGCGACAACTCGATTGAATCTAAAAGCTAAAAATGCGAAATACACGCGATATGCATCGTAATATCGCTATATCGAATTATACTCATACCATGCGATACTCTGGTTATACTTAAGTGCGTAAACAAACATATAAACAAGAAGAACGAAATAACATTTCTATTTGTCAAGAATCCAAATATTTCTCTTTCTAAACGTTTCAAGGGGATAAAATGTATCCAAGTTTTATTCTTCGTAAATAACTAAGAAAATAACAACGTGCAAATTTATCCAATAAAGTATTATCGATCTCTCCATATCGAGATGAATGTGTCACGTGTGAGAATGCTTTTTCGCGGATTATAACTGTATATATATATATATATATTAATATATATGTATATCCTTGAAAACTTGCAAATCGTAATCCTTTGAACGTCTGGCACGATCGTTAATAATTAATTGATAAGGGTGTGACGTAAATAGCTATAACGAATGACCACTTAAAACAAATTTGTTCGACAAACTTTTTCTTACTTCTTCTTTGGATACGATGACTTTCTCATGAATCCCATATTAATTAGTCACTTTAGTAAATTCGATACAGCGCTTATGCTAATAAGCGACCTTCGGACCCAAGTAACGCGTGCCTGCTCACGCGAAATCTCTATAAATTCATATGCCAAAATATTCGAAGACGGGACATTCTTTCATGGCAAGGCATAAAAATTTAGAAGATTTTTTTTTTAGAGAAAGAGAAAGAAGAAAAAACATGGAGAGAGAGAGAGAGAAAGAGAGAGGGGAAAAAAAAAAGGAAAGAAAAAAAATGATCTACGCGTTTCGAGACATATTTGTGGAAAAATTCACATAAAAAATCTCGATCTTCAATTTTAACTTCCAGAATCCTTCTACTTTTAAACGAAATATTAGTACAAATTTTCTAATCGGCTCGAAAACAAACACGATAACGTTAATGTACTTTTACAAAATTTACGATTCATCGTACGATTCATCGATGTAATAAAGGTCATGTTGTATTATACATACGAGAACCAATACACTTGTGCGAATTCCCCACTCGCGATACGAGATACAATTTCGCAAGTAAAGCTAGATTACAGGCATGTTTATTGATTTATTACGATACTTACTTCCTTTAGCGGTACTTTAAACGGCAAGATTTTCGTGCCCTTTATAACTTCTCCGTACGGTTTGTAATCGAGCCATCTATAACACCATACAAATAAAAGATTAAACAAATATAACTTAATTCATTATTTTAATTTAAATGTTATATTTATATTAGCTTGTTAACGATAAGATAACAGACGAATTTAACTTATACTTGCTTGTATGTGTGTTTAACGATACAGTTTTTATATGCGATTATGCGTAAAATTATTATCAATGAATATCACGAATGAGACATTATGATTAAAATCGATCGATTTTTGAAAATTTTATTTCGAAAGTTTTTTCCTCAAATCTTATTGGATTCTGAATAAAATAAATTTAATAAATACATTACATTAATTATTATAACGAGATAAGTCTTACCATTGGATAATGACGAAAAAATCTTTTTTTTCTAAGGTCAACAAAATACAAAAATGAAAAAAAAAAAGGAAAATCAAATTCAACGCAAACGTTTTTTTGCTTTTTTTCCGAATAAAGCGCCTCGTAACGTAAGATTTACAAACTACTTACTCGCGTCAAATCGTTATATGGTCAATAGAAAAAAAAAAAAAAAGAAAAAAATGAGTCTACCGTTTTACGCCATTAATCGTATTCGTAATATCACGTAACGTATGATCATTTATCATACTTGTATATTAAACGATCAAATGAAATTTTAATTACGAAAGTATGGGAAAGAAATTCGCGCATTTTTTTCGGTCGATAAAATAGTTAACCACCATGTACGTATATATGTATGTATGTCGCGTCAAATAATATACATTTCCCGTTACGTATTAAATTAAGAGAAATATTATTTTTTACAATTCTATGCGAATTCTTAAAAATACAAAACTCTTCCTTTCAAAATATTAATCGTAAAATTATGTTAATGAGCTATCATACGTCGTAATCGCAGTACGAAGCGTCACAACCTAACCTCCAAAACAATGTGACCTCCATTTCGTTCGCGTAAACAAGCACTTGTAGCTGCTCGACGTTGTTTCACGCCATATCATTGAGTAAAAATTATGCGAGACTCACCCGTCGGGTACAGATTTCGTCATAATCGTTGCTAAATCAGAAATTTTTTCACCCGAAAATCAAAAGCATTACACTGAAACGTATTACCACACAACCACAGCACATGCACGCAGCAGACAAACGCACTGTTAGATGGTCGCGACGCAGAACGATCGATCGATCTCTCGATTTTCGCGCGCAACAGCGTCCTTCGACCAAAGCATTATTGGCCAATTCTACCATACAAATTGTTATCGACCCGATATATAAAAATGTAATATTTACATATTCTTTACGTATAGATACAAATTATTTCGATATAATTTTTATACGAATTAATTATTTAAATATAACGCATCTATCCAAATATTACAAAACGTAACCTCTATATAAACTTTTTAAGCATATTGTATATATAGAATTTTTATATCTACCTCTCTTGATAATATTAATAATTTGTCTGTATGTATATATATAGATATATACATATATGTATATATATATATCATTTCTTAAAAATAATGTAAAAATATCATCCAGAATGTATTTGATCTTATTTTCAAAAATCGTTATTGTTAATGAAACTAAAATAACACAATGCATGTAATATCTAACATAGTTTGTTTAAATAAAGATATGTAATATTAAAGATTCTTTATATTGTTTCTTATTTATGTAAAATTCTTTCAATCCGTATTATTTTGTATACTCACCAGAAACTTATGTAATAATTGTACAATTTGCTTCAATCAATTCTTCTATATATATATATATATATATATATATGTGTGTGTGTATGTTCTCTCTCTCTCTCTATATATATATATATATATATATACATATATAGGACAATAATACCGTCACTAAAGCAACTATTGAACATTTGCTAGGAGTATTTTATAATGCTATAATACTCTCTTAATTTTTAGGCAATATCAGGGACAAGGATTATTAAGAAAATCATTTTTATTAACTCGTTGGGCATTGTACTTCTCCTTCCTTTGTTGCTTTTAATGGTAAAATTTCATTTAATATTTTTTTCTCCAAGTCCAATAATGCAGGTGGTTTCTTGTACTAAAAATATTAAATCTTATTCTCACATTAAACTTTTAAAATGATAAGCCAAAAGTATAACATACCGTGATAATAAGAGTGTTATATTGATGAGTATAGGTAATTCTATCCTGTTCAGGTTTTAAATTAATACGCTCTAAATCTGGAACTTTTATTTTTTTAAAATATTTTTTGTTGCTTGTACGTATAGTAATAGTACCATCGTCCTCTGCTGTTATCGAATATACTGATATTGGATAAGGTAAATTCCTAATTCTCCACTCCAAAGCAGTTTTTGTAATTCTCCTAGTAATAAATGGCTGAAAATATATTTCTATTTATAATTAAAATTTTTTTAATGCAATACATTATTGATGCTAACCAATAAAATAAATTAAATCCATGATATTCATATATAATATATAAAAATAAAGAATTGTATATAGGTTAATCAATGTCTAATTAAATTATTAAAATTAAAAATTTTATAAATAATAGAATTTAAATATTTTTATAAATGATGTTTGATCTTTGTCTTTACACAATATGTAATTCTAAACATATAATTCTAAAAATATATAAATAAAATGTACATACAGTGCTTGAACTTTCCTGTATCCCATAAGTTTCTATATTATTCTTTTTAATTTCTGGATCTCCTATTTCCACAATCCAATCAGTATTTTTAACAAAATTTCCTTTCTCTTTCCATGCCCTGCGTACTAATACATTTGTATCCATATGATATTCTTCTACCATTTCTTTACCATCTTCCATTAAAAAATGTACTTTCCTCCTACCTACATAATTATAAAAGTATTAATATAAAACAAATGAAAACGATATAACTTTATATGAATAATCAATAAAACTATAAGCTTTTTAAAAAGAAATAATGTGACACACATAAATTTTTCAAAACCATATAAAACTCATTAATTTTCAACTTATCGACAATTATCATTTGAAAATGACATATTAAATTATGATTATTAATGTCTATTGAAAAATTAATATTAATGTTATACATTATGTTTAAATCACTCATGATCATGACAGTTGATTATTGATCAAACATTTTTCAGGTTAAATTATTATCCTAACACCTGTACATACAAAATAATACTGAAAATATTTCATAAAAATTAATGTAACAATTTCCAATGAGATTAACAAAAGAAAATTATTACATATAAAAGTTATCTTACCATCTTGTATGATTGCGGTCTTTTTGGCATTTTGAATGCGTTTCAACCATAAATTAGTCGCCATTAGTAAATAAGTTAAAACCACGAGCTATGTATATGATAGATATAGAATGAAGATTTTTGTCCACTTTGAATCGTAGAGTTCGATTTTACCATCTGTCTACTCTGCACGATATTATCGATTATATATATATATATATATATATATATATATATATATATATATATATATATAGAGTTAATATTTTCAATAAATCGACAAATATTTAACAAATTATATTCGAAGAATAAGTTTCACGTTAAAACTTATAATTATAGAACAAAACATAAAATTAAACGCAATAAATTAGCTCGGTTATAATTACGTTTATGACGACGAATAACAAGTATTACAAAATAAATAATATAAACGTATTAAGATAATCCAAATCTCTGTACGTAAAGGTTATTACGTATAAAGATCCAATAAAATTATAAACAAATAATATATATTGTCGATGTTGAAAGATACGGACGAGAAAAAAAAAAGAAAAAAGAAGACAATTCTTTTTTTTTTCTTATTCGTATCGATTTATATCTACCGCCATTTTTTCTTTCTTTTTTACCTTCTATATCCTTTATATTACACGAATGTGAAATATATTAGTATTGAATAATATAAGACACAATTTTAATAACTCGAGATATTTTTTTATATTCTTTAAATTGATCTAAATATCTGACGATTTACAAGAGAAATACGTGTTGCTACTTTAACGATCAGAATGTGATTGAGTGTTTGATTCCACATATGAACGACGAAAGTTGCGATCTTATTGGTTAATTATTTACCCGCTTTGTTAATGTAATTTTGAAAGTATTAAATAACCAAAAGTAGTAATTTTTTCTTTCTCTGTTACTTTTCTTTTTTTTTTTTTCTTTCTTTTTTATATATCGTTTTATTTATGCCAAACGATTGATTAAAATCTTTATTTTTTTAATAAATTATTTATTTAAAAGAATTATCATTTATATTTAATTTTATATATAACACGTTAATAAAAAAAATATATATATATATATATATATTTAAAGGTCTTCTTTCAGATATAAGCACACAAACTATTGTGGTACTTTCCCCAGTGATTTATTCAATTTATTTATACAATATAGAAATTTAATGACAAATGGAGATCTTGAATGTATTTATGCAATTCCGTACAAATCAGGTTTATTTATACAATAGCAAAGCAGAGTATTTGTGTATATAGTTTACATAAGAATTTCAATGGTAAAATCTCTGCTTGCAAAGTACGGTACAGCAAAAGGCATCCTACACCCAGTAGTATGAATATAATCGTGCATGTAAATGTTAATAAAGGACTGATTATTATTATTATAATTATTATTATTAATTATCGACATAAACTGGATTTTCTTTTGTTGTTTAATGTTACAATATATATTCAGTTATTACTTTTCTTGTATATGTATTTATATATACAAGTAAGCATATACATAAATACATATATATGTCTTATTTATATTTATAGTATTTATAGAAAATTATACTAACTACATCAATATATACATAAAAAGGCAAATGTGAAATACTCGAACATTTCTCACCTCTTATTTTATAAAAATATCTGTATTTATTGTTTGTTCGTATTTTAATGAATACTCGATATTGTAGCATTACAGTATATCGTCCTTGATGTACTCACAAAAGTTGTATCATTTCTTATATCGTATTTAGATTATATCACACATATTATCTGAATAGTTTAAAAACATTTCTGAAAGCGACATTACTATGTGTGAAAATCAATACATTTTACAGATCAAATTGTATAACTTTGCAATACTTGAGCAATGTTTCGATCATTTGCCTTTTATCACCCAATATTTTGCTTACTTTATTCCCATTTAAATGCAGATATAACTTTGCATTTCAATCATCTTTCAGAGCATAATCTCTGAATTTTGATTTCTTTGAATCCTCAGATGGTGCATAACCTTGACTTAAAAGAATTTTAGTTTCATAGTCCACGCGTATATTCGCATATTTATTTACTATATTGATCAAAAAAAAAGAAAAAAAAAAAAAAAAAAAAAAAGAAAAAAAAATTATTACTTTTCATTCCGAATTTATGCATATCTGATGATAAATCATGCGAACAACGCATAAATTTTGACCTTTTTATGCATTTTATTAAATTGCAGTCATAATCGATGGCTTGCATTAACTAATCACACATTTCGACAAAATCGTTATATATGTCTGTATTATATTCATAGATAAATACAATCATATCGAAATGTAATAAACCTTTGTTTTTAATGACAAAGGAATTAAAAGACAGCATAATCACTTATTGTGAAAGAAGTACAACAGTGCGTACTTGCACTTGGTAAAGTTAACTAATGTATGTATCCTAAGCATAAAAGCAGGAAGAAGAGTACTGGAATAAGAGATCAATTGCGCACTTATTTGATCGTGGCGATTCTCATCTATAATTTTACGATTAAAGCTGAGCACTTTTAAACTTTGCCAAAAATAATATAAAAAAAAGGAAAAAAAAAACAAAAAAAAAAAAAAAAAAAAAAGAAAGAAAGAAAAAGAACCAAGTCCAAAAGTAATCATCGTTTAAGTCTGTCGTCCGTTGTGCAAGTTCATTTTACTTTTTTCTGTTCTTAGGACACTTTACCATCGTGCTTGGTTTTATTCGTTTTAACAATATGCAAATCCAGGGTGATAATTTAGCATACAAAGTTATGGAGGTAGTTGAAGTGAACACGTAAACGTCTTTCGTAAACAACCATACTGGTAAAATCGCTGCAACAAAAGAAGGTACACAAATATTCTTATTTTATACCGTTTTTATATAAGTTCTCCAAATCTGTTGAAGACATTACATGAGAAACATCGGTCTTCGATTATAGAACTTTCATGTTCGAAACTTCGCTCTTTGAAAAAAAGAATATACATAATACATATACATATAATATTTGACGTAAGTTTCACTGATAAGATACATTCAATGTGATAATATATATATATATATATATATATATATATATATATATATATATATATATATATATATATTACGTCTGCAATTTTACCATCATTTTTGGTCATTATATGACCTAAATCGTAGATCATTTCTTTTTCTTTCCCTATCCAGAATCCTCAATATTTTGATAAATATGTACACGATAAACGTACATATATACATACACACATATATATATATGTATATGTATATGTATATATAATATTACGTAGCTCTTTCGATAAGTTTAATACGCGATTTTTGGCAAATTCGTTGTTCAATCGAATAGCGTGCAAAGTATGTCAAATGCGAAGTCATGAAGTCCATTCGACAAAAGGATTGTATCGCAAATATATTTCTCTGGCTTTAACACAAAGCTCGTAAAGTCAACATCATCGTTAACATTGTAATCGTCCTTATGGACTTATTCGCTATTACAACGATAGCGATATTTCCTGAATAATCAATCGTTTTTATAATACGATCCTTTAACAGTTTCATTCCTTGTGTTCAGGATCTGGTTTTGTCTTCGGTTCCATTGATGATGGATGATGAGGATTTGTTTGATTTCTCGGTACAAGCAAGACATTGCCATCGGCAGATTGTTGAAGACTGTATTCGTATGGATGATATTGATTACCATCGGGATCTCGAAGAGACTAAAAAATAAAAATTATATATTCACGATTGCGCCATCTTTTTATTTGATAATTATTGTTTATATGAATAATATACGAATAATTAGCAATTATTATCAAAATTATCTTATCGAAATGGAATTCAGTTCTCCAATCTTTTCTTGTATTATTAAATACTAATAACAAGTAATAAATAATTTTACTTAGATAATTTAAATGGATACGTAAAAAAACATTACGATCTTGCAAAAGTAATATAAGCATAATGCTTTTGCAAGAAAACGATAGGAGACAGTAGACATTATCGTATGACTATAATAATTCTTTGTACTGACCTGGAAAACGTGGCGATAAAGTTGACTGAACTTGTCTTTAACGCGTTGCCTTTCAAGAAGCATAAAATCATGCTCCCGAATGAGTCTCATTTTACGATCGCGCATCTCTTTTACTTCGTCGGCAAGACTGATGATTTGATCGAGTTTACGTTTGCGACAATTCTGTGCTGCCACTTTATTCTTTCCTCGCCTCCTAATATCACGTATCAGAGATAATTGTGCCTCGCTGAGATCGTATTTGCTTAAACGTTCGTTAAATTCGTCCATAGGTAAATTGATTATGTCGTTCACTGGGATCGGCACGTTTAATGCTCTCGCACGTTTCTCATCCCGTGTCAAATGTTCCTCGCTCTCGTTCTTTCGTACTAAATTTTTCAAAAAATCAAAATATGTTACATACACACACACACACACACACATACATCCACATATATATATATATACACATAAAACATGGGATTAAATATTGACTTTAAATAAATCAACGAGACTTCAAAATTTTGTATTACCTTTCTTATCACGAGAAAGGGGACGTTGAAGAGATCCTGAACTTTCAGCGGGCAAGTGATAAGTATGATTATGATGAACGTGCTCGATGGCTGATCGCCCTAAAAAAAAGAAACAAAACAAAACGAAAAATAAAAGAAAAGAAAAGAAAAAGGAAAAAAGAAATGAATTTATACATCAGCGACATCCATTGAGAAGATATCTAACGTATTTTCTAGATCATATCCGAAAATAATTACCAGATTGATGACGGGTAAAGTCGACACTGCAACTATATTTAATTTCAGACTGTGGACCGGCTGCACCTTCTATCGGACCTGAATAAGCGTTGCCTGGTGCACCAGCACCGACCGTATGCGAGTCATACTCGTATTTCATAGGGGTGGTTGGATGCGCCGTTCCTCCCAAAGGTGATCCTTATGGGCGAAAGGAGAAGAAGAACAAAAAAAAAAAGAATAAAAAAGGAAAATAAATAAATAATAAGAAATAGAAAATGAGTTATAATGATATTATTCAAATATTCATTTTTTCAGGTTGTTCTCGTGAGTTTGAATGCATTAGCAGTTACGTGAATATATATATATATATATATATATATATATATATATATATATATATATATATATAAAAAGAAAGAAAACAGGTAAAAGAAAAACAAAACAAGATATGATGAATCTAATATACGTCAGAGACTCTATAAAATGCAATAGGTAATAAGAAATATCTTGTTTTGTTCAATCATTTTATCGGAATATATTTGTCATGAGAACGCTTATAAACTTTATATGACAATTTTTCTACGAACCGGTGCTTTGCTCTTGGAAATATCGTTTGGCGAACATTTGATGTTTTTTCTGTGCAACCGGCGGTACAGTCCTTTCCGGTTGACATCTTGGTGAACCAGCGTTTCTTCCGGAAACGGAATAACTGCAGTCGTAAGGCATTCGGTATTTACTAAAAGAGAAAAATAAAAAGAAAAAAATATATTATCGAGATTCTACATATAATATAGAAAATATCATTTAAATATTCTTTTTCTCTTCTTTTTATTTTTTTGCGAATAAAAGAAAATAAAATTAAGATATTTTATTTGTACATAGATAACGATAAAGAATTTGGATATTTTCATTTAAATATCTTATTCCTTTAAAAATTGTATTCCTCTTAAAAGAATATGATTTATATCAATGAAATTTTTTCCATGTACCTAGCATAATCCATGGTGTAATGTGAATCAGCTTGCGTGTGACTGGAATTAGATCCAGTTTCCATCCACTCCCCATCCGAGAGGGATGGCACACGCTCACTGCCCATGCTACTGACGGCACTGTCGCTAGAGGCGTCCATCCTCTCGTCTGTGACAGCAGGTAAACTCGTCACACTCGTCAGGGCCGTCGTTGTTGACGTGGTACCACCGGCTGTTTGGACTCCTGGCAATGCAGCCGCTCCGGTTGGCCCAGATGCGTTATTGCTACCATTGTCCAGCATGCGCATGGTGTACATGCCTGTAACAAGAAAATAAATTTTTTAGCTTTCTTATCTCGCATTCTTTTAATAACAAACAGTATCAACGAGATTAAAAAATTCCTATGTTATAAGCGTAATGAACCAAGAAACAAGAATTTCAAACCTAAATGCGAATGATGAAACACTCGCATTTAAAATATTCGCCAAAATGGGCATAGATTTTCTAAATTTCAGGAAGCAACCACGTTTTAACTTCTATTTCGCGCTCGTAAAACGAACAATCCATAAACATACGTACTTAACATCAACTGGAATGACTTTTTTGCAATCGTGACATTTTCTACAACCGGTTTCGTAAGATGCCGTGAGTGAGAATCTTCCTAGCAAATTCACTTTACATGATCAGCACCAATGACACAATGTGAATATATGCTATATACGAAATTCTTCTATCGAACTCGAACCTGATATTAGAAATATCATTTATTTATGTTAAAGAACAGAGACTTTGTCTCAGTCATTGATACATTTCTTCTTGGACAGGAAGACATTAGAGATTTATCGATCGATTAAACAAAAAGACAAATAATTGGAAAGCTCAAGGTTCGCCAATGTGGACCGATATGTATATATATATATATATATATATATATATATATATATATACATATGTACCGTTGATCGCTATAAAGTATATAATATGACTTAATATCGGTCATTTCAAGCTGGTTCATAATTGCGCAAGAAATTTTTAATAGACGACAAATGACAAACTAAACGTTCGTTTGCTTTCATTTACGCTCTAAGAGATTTTCCTTTTTTTTAATATTATTTATTTCCTTCAGATAACAATAGTTATATTCGGACTTTAAACGAGTACTTATACGCGGGTAAGAATCTTTGATGATTATCGTCAATGAACGCGAGCGCACGTTGATAGGAATTTCCCAGAAATACATATTGAGCGCGTCATGGTCAAATCGCGGGACAGATATAAACACGTAATTCGTTTCGTGTTTCAGTCATTGATATCATGTGCTTGAAGACGTGTTGGTTCGCGTTATTTCTATGAATCTTGAACACCTTTGTAAAAGGATATTTCGCAATGTGAAACGTGTAAAATATATTATTACTCAATTTTATAAGCTCCCGTCGAATGTATTTTATTTATGATTGTTTTATTATCGCTTTTTAATCTTTTTAAATACCGTTTCATATATTTCCAATTTTATTACGTAAAGTAATAAAAAATAAATGAATAAAAAGAAAAAGAACAATTAAAATAAAAATAAAAATACAAATAAAATAATAATAATAATAATGTTATATTTCCTAAGGGACGAAATAAATTATGTTCTTTTTTTCCCCGAAACTTTATCAATCAATTTATCTATTTTGATTCTAATGAACGATCATTACAGTTTTTCTTCGAAATATATCAACGCATCGATCATGAAAAATATAGACGTCATTAATTGAGGGACACACTCTAACAAAGAACGAAAGCTACGTTCATTAACCTTTTGTTAGTTATGAGGAGAGGTAAAGAAAAAAATACAAAAAAAAAAAAAAAAGAAAAAAAAAATAGGCGATATTAATAATTAACTCTCGCCATGAACATACACTGTGCAATGTTCTCAAACGAGAAAACAGGATATGAACGTTGGTATACGAGCGATCGAGTGACTGCTATGCCCGTTACAAATGCAAATTCGTAAGTGCGATCGATAAGAATCGATTACGTTCTACGTCAATAAATTATAATTAAACATTCAATATTATTATTTACACTTTCTTTGGTTGCTATTTCAATCGCCACATCGCAACATACAGTATGCAAATTGATTACCCAAATTTGATGACTTGGCATGACTTTTGATATCTTTACGATAACATACGATAATTTCTCTTATCAATGACCAATCGACAGTCGAATTTTATATCGAATGGTCACATGAAAGGCGGATAGTATGATATAATATTATATAATGCAATTTTTATTTACATAAACATGTTACGTAAATTAGATGCACTTTTAAAGAACTTTGAAAGCAAATAATCATCGTCGACATCGATACCGAAGGAAAATCAAAAACGGTTTATTCGCAATTTTCAAGAAATTTTGCGATAATTTCATTCCTTTTTTTTTCTTCCTTTTTTTCTTTTTCTTTTTTTTTTTTTTTTTGTTTTTGTTTTCGACATGTATAATTTCAATTATCCTATACAAATTTCAAGCTCGAAAAATAGATTAGAAAGGGAAAATATTTATGATCGATTAGAATTAAGTTACGAGCGAAAGAAAGTGAGAATGAGAAAGAGTGAAAGAGAAAGAAAAAAAAAATAAATAAAATCGATTTTGAAGATATACAAAGATATTTATACATTATCTATATATTACACACACATATATATATATATATATATATATATATATATATATATATTATGTACCGATTTGACGATAAAGAAGAACTTCGTTGTGTGTGGCGAGTTCCCTATCAATCAGTTGAACAAATTGAGTTACATGTGGGTCGATGGCATATCGGACACGTGATGCGCCTTCGTACGTATAACGCGATCAAATGAGCCTGCGTTTGCTCACGTACACGTACTTACGTATACGTATTGTGTTTCCCGCTTCGTAACCAGACGATCGTTGGACGCCATTCATATTTTTCTTGGCTTTCGGTCATATGTCAGGGTCGATAGGTGATCATATGTGCATATACATTTGTACATATATATATATATATATATATATATATATATAAATATATATACTACAATCTGAAGATGGAAATTAGGATGACGTTGCAGTTTTCTTTAAGATTTATTTTTTAATCGAATATATATGCTCGTAAGCGAATGCGTTCATGAAAATACGAAATAAGAAATAGAATGAACGCGAAAATAAGGCGTGAGCTTGCATTGACTCTGATCGTCGTTCTTGATCGATCTGATGATAAATGATCTTTGATGATAAAAAAAGAAAAAAAAAAATGGGGGAGAAGCAAAGGAACGAAAAGAGGAGGATAGAAAAAATAAATATACGGAAAAGTAAAGAGACGTTTAAAACGAACGAGAGACATTCTTCGATCGATCTGAAATTACCTACTTGGTATGTACATGATAACTCCCATGGTCGCCATTCAAGCCCTTCCTCTCAAGATTTCTCTATTTCTTCCAATCGATCGATAGAATCCAATAACTTATCCTTCTCCCTTTTTCTTTCGTTACATTAGTCTTTCTCAATCGCAAGACTCTTCTTCGTCGTTAAATCTTCAAAATTTTGATAATATTATAAATACTGTAGTGCCTGTAGTAATGCATATTTAATAAGAGCATACAAGAGGAAGAAGAAGAAGATGTTCGAAGAAACGAACGAAGACACGCTCGAGATATCTTTTTTCCTTGGTGAACATCGAGCTTATAATGTTTAACACCTTCGCTCGACTAAATGTTCCTTTCTCTCTTTCACAATAACCTTCTTCTCGTGCTTATTATAGACGACGAACACACTATCATAATGTGTATTAATTTAATCGTAGAAACGATCAAACGAAATCGTTTCGATTAATTTCGTTTACATTGAACACCAAATAACTAGAAACGTATTATCACATAAATTCAAACTTCATTAATTATCGATTCATTAATTATATAAATCGATGAAGATTTTCACGAAGAAAAATTGAAACTTTAATATCAAAGAGTCATCTCAGTTTCTTCTTCATCCACAAGATACGATTACGAGAAACACTTCTTTATAACTGACACTCCCGTTCTTTGTCACGACACACATACATACACGAGTTACGCTGACAGCAGATAACGTGTTAGAACTTCACAGAAATACAAAACATCGCGATGATACTCGAGAGAGAATATAGAAACGATTTCTCGAATAATACTCGTACGTTTTAATTTTTCTTTCTAAATTTTCCATTTTACTTCACTAATTTTAATCACACTTTAACTCTACTTCTCTCTCTCTCTCTCTCTCTCTCTCTTTCTCTCTCTTTACTTCTCTCTTTGTCTCTCTTGAAAAAAAAAAATAAAACGGATAAAAGTAATAAAAAAAAAAAGAAAAAAAAAAAAAAAAAAAAAAAAAAACCAAGATCGTAAAATAATTTTCACTTTGTTAAAAAACTTATTGAGAAAGCTCTTGGTTCCATACGTATGATCGTGAAGAACGCGTAAACATAACTATTTAAATATCTGCTCGTATCCGCAAGTCTGACCCGACACGGGGCGTCACCACTCGCATGGCGAGAGGCTCGAAAGACCGAGGAGGCTTCGGCTTTTCTCCTCGGCATTGGACGATAGTCGAAGAACGGTGGGAGAGACGATGACGGGATATCGTCGTATGTCTTCTGCACGAGCGGAGAAACAAACGTGCCGAAAAACCATTGACTTTGCGTTAAATAATAATATCGTTCATAAAACGTGTATGTACGTATATATTATACGCGTTTCAAACATGAAATCAAACGGGTTTTCTTTTTCTCCTACCTCCCAAACCCCCCCCCATCTCTCTCTCTCCCTACCCCCTCTCCACCTTTGAGTTTTTACAATATCAAAGAAGTTTCATTTAATGCAAATGTTTTTTTATGAAAATATAACGATAATATCGTGCACGATAATATCGATCATATTGAAATAATTGTTCTTTAATAATAATTGGCGATCATACGATAATATTATTCTCAGTTAAAAAGTATCGCGACATCGTATTATATAGATCTCAAGAAAGAATAAATAAACTTTACGAAGGCGTTTAACGACGGTCTCGTCGAAGAATTTAATCAATTAATAGACGCGTAACGTTAGAATGTAACGTGAGAGTTCTTGTAATGCAATCATACGGCCTACGAACATAAAGAAACGTAAGCACATAAGTATGTAGATACGTACGCGGTAGTCATTCCTACTTTCACCGTCGACCGTGGGTGGGTGGGTACACTTGGTGAATATCTAACTACGCAACTAATAATTATTATCGTTCGCATCTGTCCGTAAGATTGAAATCGATATATGACCTAACCCTTTTATTCTTCTTGTCGACAGATTATTTAAAAAAAAAAAAAGAAAAAAAAAATAAAGAAGAAAAAAAAGAAAAAGAAAAGAAAAAAGGAAGAAACAAAAAAAGAAAAATGAAAATTCAAAGACAAACATGCATACAAATTGCAGAATGCCATATACCAATGGATATGCATGAGAGAAGCATAACACGTCACGCGTTCGTACATACATAAATCGGTATAACGATTTTATGCACCGTTTATTTACGCTTCTACGCGTCACGCATACTAATCGCGACTTAGACTATCTATAGGATTATCGTTTTTTCTTGATTGCCGCTTTAAAATTCGATCATTATCGTCGTTAAATAATAAACACCTTGCTACTTCGCAACAATGTGATACGTTATTTCATTCTAATTAGATATCTACTTTTTCTTTAATTCGGATCTCTTATTTCTATATTTGATTTAAATACAAATACGTATTATATCCATTAAAATTGCGAGAAAATTCATTTCACCTTGTTTATTTTCGAAGGAACAATATGTAGATGCAATTTTTATTCTCGATACAGCTCCACTATGATCTCATCCTCGTGATGATTTCTAAACTCGAAATTCCAAGGATAAGCGCAACGATCTTGTACGCTCGAGCGATCGTGCGAATACGATTTAATAAAAGAGAAAGAAAAAAGACAAAAAAAAAAGAAAAGAAAAAACGATTGGACTTCCTCTTATCGTCACATTTTCTGGACGAAACACGAAAATTCGCATTTGTTTTATTCCGTTCACGAAACAATGATCCTCTTAATCTCGTTGATACGGTAAAAAGGAAAAAAAAAAAATAAACGTTGTTTTGGGACGAATCTCGAGATACATACGTTCACATTATTTTCTAAGATATTACAAAAATTGATTTATAATAGTCATTCGTAAATGCGATTATTACGATTAATCGAGTTTGTTAATTGACTTGAGAATGCAATTGTAAAGTGATGCGATGTTAGAAAAAAAAAAAAAAAAAAAACAGAAAACAAAAAAAAAAGAAAAGAAAAGAAATAAAAAATAATCACTATAATTATTATACAGAGTCAACGAATAATTATTTAAAACATTAAGAGATTACTTTATTACGCTATCATCTGCAGTTTCATGGACAAGAGTGTTCTGTTCTATCGATGATAACGATGGAAATTAATCATAGTTAAATAAGAGTTAAAGAGAGAGAGAGAGAGAGAGAGAGAAGCCATATGTTTATTCAAACTCATTCGTTTGGTTCGCCAAGTCTTTCTAGTAACGCCGTATGACTAAGCACCTCGAATATGGATGCGATATCTTTCGACGAATCACGCGTGGCGATAATAAAGAACGCGTAACTATTTATAAATCTTCTTTCGGAAGTTGCCTTCTACATGAGCGTGGCAAAGTTTCTGATCTTAATTATCGTTTTAAACATTGAACAAGACGATACATAATCTCAAGGAACGACTTTCTACCAAATTCGGAAATACGAAAATCATTACTTTTATTGGAATGTCGTTGTCAAGGTTGGTATATACTCGGTATCAGTGTACACATTCGTTTAAAAGAGATATATACACCTATACAAGTATAAGCCCCAAGCACGTCTACGCACGTAATACGATTCTTTATGACGAACGAGGCAAATATTTGAAAGAATCCGAGAGCAAACTTTCGCTCGATTGAGCTTGTAAGAATAAAATCTTATAAAAATAAAATCTTGTTGACTTTGATATCATAGGAAAGAAATTAATATATTTTTATTAGCCAATAAAAGGGAAAAAGAGAAGGAGAGAGAGAGAGAGAGAGAAAGAAAAAGAGAGAGTGAGAGAGAGAGAGAGAGAGAGAGAGAAATATAAAAGAAAATAGTCGGCAAAAACGTTATCTTGAAAAGTTGGAGAACATCTTGCCGTTTACTAAGTCGAATCTCTTTTCTCTTTAGTATTGGATATAAAATCGTTTCTCCTATGTCCGCTAAAATGAAACTCGTATAAATTTGCGATAAGCGTAATCTAAAACGGAAAGACACGTTACCGGAAATACAAAATTCCTGCTGTGTTCCTTTCGAGATTATTTCGTGCACTTCTAAGCCGATAAGTCCATAAAAGAAGGTTCCTTAAGAACGATAATATTATACTCTTAACGCAATACGGGTTTTAGATATTTATATTCATTTTATTTTAGCCAACTAGCAACAATTAAGATCCTGTTTCAAGACTAAACGTAGGCAGAACAAATTTTTTTACATTTTAAAACTGCAACGTTTCTTCGAACACACACACACGCACACATACACATACACATACACATACACATACACATACACATACACACAAATATACGTGAACGACGAATAACAACATGTGGTCACGTGTGGATAATTTCCGATACCAGTTTCTTTATTCTAACAAACGCGAATTTATATCGAGGAATGCTACTGGAAAAAAGGGCAATTTTGCAAAAAGTTTTATTCAAGTTGGTATCAAAGAGAAGCTCCATGATAACTTTCGTTTTCAATAACGATCGGTCAAGGCCAACGAGTATATAGAATCGATGGTCAGGAGTGTACGAAACAGTGAACAACGACTAAAAATATTTTCTGGATAATATCAAAGAAAATAATCAATAAAACGTGTCCAAAGTCTGATTTCATCTGGGTTTTTTTTTTTCTTCTCTTCTCTATTCTTCTCTTTTTTCTTTTATTTTTTTCTTCACTTTATTATTCAATGAGCGGATACTTCAGCCACCACCCACCCACGCATAATCAGACGATCGAGATTATTCGGAAAGGTGAACAGCGATTCGAAAAAAATATTTTTTGGGTCGCTCGAAAAAACAAAAAAAAAAAAAAAACAATAACAAAGAAAATATTTCCAATATCAGACTTCATATTATTTTTCTCTTGTTGTTCA